TGCTGAATTTCTAACACTTTCTTTTCAGCTGGGCATTGTTTTTTGTGCTCACAGGTACACTGCACGTTAATTAGTTTTGTTTACCTATGCATATTTTTTCTTAATTTCACAACAGTATTTTTTGTAATTGACAAAGCAATTTACTGCATGTGTGCTTTCTGCACCCCAGACAAATACTCTAACATGTAGTGCACCTTTCTTTCCAGTTCAGATTGTTACGAAAAGAATTAGTTGTGACTAATTGCCAATTAATTTGCAGTGGTTTTAGGGAGGAGGGGGGAAAACAATTGCACCTACTAATTAAAATTTAAAATATTCCAAAGTGTCATCTTTAGGTGTCTGTGGAATACATAATTTCCATTTTGGTTCTGCACTGGATCTGTAACAACCCTGAGCTTGACAGCTCTATTAATTTAAAACCTCAGTGATACCTATTAGTACAAAACATGAAAAAAACGCCATTAATCATTTATTTTAATTTTGCAGCTCTGTCATTTTCTCGGTATGTTTAAAAATTATGATGACACTGAAATGTTTTCCAATCTACCTGTGTGAAGGGGAAACGGATCACACTACTTAGGAGAGAGGCTAGAGTATATTATTAGAGCTTAATTAATGCCAAACTGATTAGATTTGATTGCACTTTGCACAATAATATTGTTAAGAAATTTATTTAAAAGATGTGTTGCCTAACGCTATGTTTAAAACAACTGGTCTAGATCTGAAGAGATTTTGACCAAAATGCTACATAATGCAAGTCACAGGGTATTTTGTTTAGCACTGCCTACATTCTATAGGTCTTATTCATATCATGATACCCAGTACAGCTCTTGATCACCTATGGGAAGATAAAAGTATTTGGCACTCCTGTGACACAAAGGTGTCGCATCCCTCCATTTCGTGCACAGAGAGAAGCATATGGGCATCTAGACTGTGGGAAAACCCTCATACCCTCAAAACTACCACCATCCAAACCCTGCTGATAGCATGGAAAAAAGTGACCATGGAAAAAATACAGGATTTCTTTCTTTAACATTAATTGAAATATTATAAGCAGAGCTGATTACCTCTGTTTCCAGTTTTCTATTATCATTTAGCATTGTAGTTAGTGCCTGTATTTATAGCACCATGTTCTGTGTTAATAGTAAATATTTAGGCATTCTGTGAAGTCAGGAACAGGAAGGTAACCAGCACATATTGTAGAAAAAGGAACATGAAAGCAAAACTGACTGACCTAAAAGATACAGTTACCACACTAAAATTATTGATGCTCACTGCATTTCATTTAGTGGATGCATTGTATTAAAGTGGCTTCAAGGCATATTTGGAAACTCTGACCTGCTCCTGAGACAAATAAATGTCTGGTTTATTCATTTATAAATATCTTTAGTATCACAAATTCAGGCTTCTCCTTTATCAGAAAATTTGCTATCGACAAGTAGGGAGCAATTGCCATCTCTTCTTTTAAGAATTATGCTTTTTTTTTAATTAGATCTGGCGTTCCTTCCCACAAATACATCATTGGACACATTTTCTAATACTGGAAAGGCAATTTTGAAATTGCAAATGCAGTATTTTCCTGCTAAACCTATTTACTAGATATACCAGCCCTTTAAATTTCTGTGATCATGAACTCATAGGATAAAATCTTGGCTTCAGTTAGTGAATGAGAGTTTTGCCGTTGGCTTCAACAGTTTGAGTTTAGCCTATAATGTTGTGTATCGGGCTTACAACAAAAATCCACGATATCTTAGCAATTCATGTGGCTATTTACTTCCCCCCTAAATGGAATTTTGTTATTTCCTTATTTAGCCTATTTTTAAATATAAATTTGTGCCAAATATGCCAAATAGAAGTTTTTTTCTCCAGCAGCACTTCAGGAACTCCCCTAATTTATGTTTAAAATGTCCTCCAATTTTCTCTAAGTTATTATGTATTTTCAGTAAAACTGAGTAAATTATCTCAAAAATTATTTTCCAGAATTCCATAGTAATTTGTATGAGTATGTTTGTCAGGATATCATCAGTTCCTAAAAATATGTTAGGTTAGGGTTTGAGCTTTTGGGATTTTTTTCTGAGCAATCTCTTTTTCTCATGTATATGTGTGTGTGTGTGTAAATCACAGATTTACCTAGGAAAAATGAAAAACAAAAAAAAAAGGTCTTATTTAAAGCTTTTATAATTGTGCTTCTACTAAAAAAGACATGAGGTTGCTTGCTGAATGAAAGAGAAACTGAATGGTAAAAGTTAGTCTATAGACACTCCATGTGCATGCACACAGAATCTATATACAGCTATAAGTAGTGATTTCTTTATTTTTAACTAAACTAAAACTTTGTTGCTTGTAATTAAAGATTTTTATCTTTTTTTTTTTTTTTTTGGTCCATTTCAGTCTCCCATACAGCACTTTCGGTGTTCAGTCCTACTTTGACCTACAACACTATTTCTCTTTCTGAGACCCTTAGTGCTGCTTCCCATCTCAAAGTGTGTACTGTCACTTGTCACCCAAACTCACAGCACCAACTCTGGCAGTGCTGCCAGTATGAAAACAGAAGCAGAAGTGAGACTCCAGGGCAGAAATGCAACGCCTGAAATTCTTGAGAAAGACAAAATTAGCTGATTTCAGGCAAGGTAGTGCAGTGGTCCAGCATGTATTACAAACATACTGATCTCTTTTTATCACCCAAAGATGACACTTTTTAATTTATTTTTTTTTCAGGAGGAAAATAAGGAATCAGTGGTTATCATTGTTAACCAATGCAATGTTACCAGACACTACCATGCATAAGTAAACAAATATACTTTAAGTTTACACTTTATTTTTGTATTTTCAGAATGTAAAATATATTTTACACCACTGGAATCGTGCCAATTTGTAACAGTTGAAAATATGTCTCAGATAAATACATGTAGGACTCCATCCCCATGCGCATGAGTGCTTAATCATGTTCATGCATCTTAGCTGATCTCAGTTGATAGGATGCAACATACTGAAGAGGTCATGGTCTCTGAAACAGATGGCTCAAGCCAAAAAAGAACATTACAAATGATAAACATTTTCTCAATATGTAATTGCATTCATCCTCAGCAGCATTGAACAGCCCCAATCCAACATGCAATCTGTACGGGGTCTCAGGATTACCTCACCTCTTCATACTAAAGCCATCTTTTGAGCTTTGCTCTTTTATTCATTTTAAGATGGAATTACTTTGATTTACCTCTGAAAGGAAACTCTGAGGCCATTCCTACTGCCACATCATGGCCAGATCTTGCAATAAGCTGAACCCTTATGACTCTCGAAGAATTCGCTCACAGCAGCTGCAGATTACTTCATGTATTGATCCTCAGGATCAGATTGATGTCATCACTGTTCCTGAGCCCAAAATATGTCTTATGAAGCGTGTGAAAGTTACAAAAATCCTTGAGGTGATTTTCCAGGACCAGATCATCAGCTGGTATAAAGTGACATCAATAGAATGACGCCAACTTACCCCAACTACAGATTTGGCTGTCTGAAGTGGTGCCTGAAGCAGAATTTCTTGTGAGAAAATATGTTGATGCCAGTCTTTGAAAGCGAGAGTTATTATCCATGTGAAATTAATCTAGGTTGCCAAAAAAACCCCGTATGCTAAATTTGATACTAATGAACAATGTTGACAAAAACAGGTCACGTATGAAATTTGAGACTAATGAACTAAGGTGGCATGGAAATGAGCATCTGGAGAGTAAAGTAAAGGCTCTAATAGAGTTAAACCAACCCACTCATTCTGTTGAGGTTTTTCTGTTTCTACCTCCTTATAATATAAAGTAAATTTCCACCCCAAGAAATGTCCTGATCTATATTTTAATGAGCCTCTCCACGTGACATACATTTTTTGTTTCATTACTATTAGTGAATGACAAGTGAAGGATATTCATTTTAACTTGAAAATGTCAGCTATGCACTTTAAGAGATATATTTTCCAGTTTTTAATGAGGTGGTGTTTCTTTTTGAAAGAAATACCCATCTCTGATGTGGGTACTATGCAGGTGACAACTGATATTTAATAAGTGATGGTTCTTGTATTAGTCGTAGTTCACTAAAGAAAATGTCTCGGATTGCTTTTGAAAAACTCTTAGCGTCACTAGCCCAAAGGCAAGATGTGACCTTTTTATTACATAATGAGAATCATTTATTATCTTACAATGTATCTTAAAGTCACAGACAAAATGCCACTTTGATAATTGCTTTCAATTAGCTTTGAGCATAGCATACATTCATAAAATGTCTTCTCTAATTTAGACTTGAATTAGAGAAAATTGCAGACATAATCTACTTTAAGGTTGTCTCATTTAAGGTGATTCGTAGTTTTATATCAAAGAAATCAAAACGGGTGGCTTTAGAGCAGTCTTACAAAGTGTTTTAAATAGGCTTTTCAGTATTTGAGTCTATTCTATTAACAATTTATTAACAAATTAGAATGCTAGTTCTTCTTTTGAGCTTTTTTGTGTATTAACTTTTGACTTTCATTCATAATGCTTATTTTGAAATTAAGCAGTGTCATGTGTTAAAAGAGAAGTACAGCTTGATTAGATGTATAAATAAAGCATACAAAGACATAGCTTATACCTTAATAATAGGCAACAGCTTGGTCTGTCAGCATGTATGTCCTTTCCAACTTTTAAATTCTTATTCGTCTTGTAGATATGTAACATATTTAACAGCAGGCAAGAAATCCCACACTCAAAAAGTAAGATCGCATATCGGCATGTATTTTATTGCATATGATTTTTAATATTGATTATGTGTATATTTTAAAGTATTTGTGGAAACAATGATTACACATAGATTGGTTTACTGCATATGTAACATCATTCATGAAAGATACAGGTATTTTCCTTTCGTCTTTGATTAAATGAAGAAGGTTTGGAAGTTGCATATAAAGATAATTCAGGCATCTCAGATACTTGGAATTGAACTAGCTCAAGGGATAACTCTGTTTTTCTTCTTTCTTCCCCCAGATAAAAATTACTCACAAGAACCAAGCCCCCATGTTGATGGGACCTCCTCCAAAAACTGGTCTTTTCTCGTCTATCATCAAAAGAACAAGGAACCACAGCAAGGAATAAGCCTATGTAGTTTAGTTTTTAGAAAACCAGTTAGCTTTGTTGGGCTTTGGAATATTTATGCTGGAAATCTTTCAAGAATTTTAGAATATCTTCTACTTGCAAAATCATGGATTTTGGTTTAACAGTTTCCATAACCAAGCTAATGTAAAACTACGCTATTAGAAAAAAATATTGTCACAGTTTTGTAGGCATTTTGCATGATGAAAGCAGATGTTTACATAAAGTGATACAGCATATTTTTGTTGCATGTGTTACCATTTACTAATCTATAGGCTAATTCTGCCGTGGAATTTGGGAAGAGAATGCCATGGGTAATTTGATTTTCTCTCTTTTCCATTTCGACTTTTTCTACTGCAATGATCATATGCCATAGGTTCAATAGAATCTTTTGAATCAAACATCTTCACATCAATAGCCAATTAGACCTGTTTCGGAGTAAAGTTTATTACAGGTCTCATTAACCTGTACTTTTAGTTTATCATTTCTTTCTACCCTGAGAATATTTTTATTCAGCTAAGCATTAAAATCTTTTCTCTTCTGATAACTCCTATGTATGTGAGTAACTGTATCTGCTGAAAACGTCTAACAGTGTGTGCAGTATTCAAATGATCATGATTACTTTTATGTAAGTTTTTGTAAGATTGGAATTCAATGCAAGTTTGAGCAAAAACTATAAGGCTAAGGAGATCATGCTAAGAGTGAAGATGATAATACTTGCAAAACTAGCCATCAGAGTTGTTTGCTGAAACACTAGAATTATTTTAATGAGCAATACATCTCTGTAATATGGCAAACTTTAAATCATTCTGCGTATTGACTGATAGTATAGTGTGTATGCACACAAATAACCAAAGCTCATGCCTAATAAAGTGCATTTCCCACCAAAGATTTAGTGAAGGATGCTTCAGAGAAATGGGTTAATGCATAATTAATCAAGCTCACTGGAGCAGACTGACTTACTTCTGAAAATTTACAGTTCTTTTGATTATGTTGGCAATGTCCAGACAAATGTTGGGGTAAGAAAAAACAAATTAATTGCAAGCAAATACTCACTTTTCATTTGTTTCATAAGTTGATAGACATAGACACATACTCTAAGTATTGGAATATTCAACTTACGCCTAATTTTGTTGTCATTATTATTTATAAATTTATGCCATCCATAATTTACTCACCCCCTAAATTAATCTCTTAAGGAAAGGATAAACTGTTATCTATTCCGCTTTTGTAGTCTGCTGTCTGGAATCAAAACATTTCTTGTCATAAATTTTGGGGAGGCAGTTGCTCAGGTTTTTACTTTTTTAGCCCTCTGAGAGACTTCCTAACAGCTTAGAAATCATAATACAGGGATTTGTCTGAGGTTTGCACAGCACTGTCTAATGTTGAAGGGAAGTCCAAGAACGGCAACTTTTTCAGTCTTACATATAAACAGTCTCAATCAAAACCTTTTGTGCAGTCTTAACATTGTTCTTTGTTCAGAGTGAGCTGCTTCTCAGCTCTGCATGTCTTAAGTTCTCAGAGATTTCATCAAAAAACAAACAAGGAAAAAATAAAACTTTGCTTGAAATGCATGATTTCCCATTTTTATCTAGACTTTAAAATATTAATGATTTATTAAATCTATTTTTCTATTGATTCATTCATCCCTTAAAAAATAGTATTTCATCATTCTGTAGTGCACGGTACTGTGCATGTATTTAAATAAAGTTACTATCATTTGTTCCTCAGTATAAGAATTCAACAGAGTCCTAATTTATATAATAGACACTGAAATAAAAGTCAGTATATAGTTGGTAAGGATTATGTCTTCGAAATATACAGTCTGTGTTCTGTAAACATTAGGAGGTAAATACCAATTAATGTTATGTTCAGCATTAGGTAGAAAAATATGAGGGCAATTATCTGCTAAAATTAAGATCTTGTAATTCCCTGTTCTTGGGTCCAGTGGTGTTGACAATTACAGTTACTGTAGGAGTAAACTAATATTTTTCCTCTGCATTGCAAACACACACACACACACACAGAAGCATTTGACGCACTCCTTAGCTGCAAGCATACATAAGTGTAGAGCAAGAGATATTTGCAAAAAGAAGGAACTTGCTGACATAATATTACATAAAGTGTACATTGGTTTTATGAAATTATGGTTACAGGTGATAAATATTTTCACATAACTTGACATAGGATTTTCTACCAATGCTCTCAACTTTTTGTGGCAAAAATGTGTTTAATGATAATATATAATGTGCTCTCTATGATTATCTCATGAACATTGTAACTCTGAAAACAAATAAAATTATACATAAGCTATTATTTAATAATGTATGCAATTTTAAATGTGCCAGTCTATGATAGCAAATTGTTCACAACATGCTTTTTCATATAAAGAGGGATAGGTGGGTTCATGTAATCACAATTACATGCGATTCTGACTAGACGTATAAAAGGTAAATCGGATCTGTTGGTCAGTATGTATCAAATTCTCACTTTAGCAAAATATAATGGAGCAGCCATTTTACTATATTGGCACTTACCGTAGCAGTGACATTCTCTCTATTAACCTTGTTTGTTTGGTTTTTTAGCATGGCCTCTACTAATTTAAAACCATGTTCAGGTTGAAAGTATTGATTGATGATGAAGAGAATTAGAATACATAAAACATAGTATGAAAGGAAAATGCTTGATTTAATGAAAGAGAACTTCAGGGGGAGGTCCTTTTCTTTTTTTTTTTTTTCATTTCAGTATGCACAGAATTAACATAATGAAATTATACATTGGTGTATAAAGCAAAACAAAGAATATATGCATGTATCTTCATACAGCTGTAACAGGTGCACTGTTCTTACATTGACTGAAGAGTAGTAGCTGTAAACCTTCCACTGTTTACAATGAGGCATTCTTTAAGGCCTCATTAATGGCATTTGCAATATAAATGGAAATTCCAAATATGTAGGAATGATATCTGACACTGGATTTGCAAATTTTTCATCTCCCTGCTAGAGCGTTGCAGCTGGGCAATGTGCTGAGGAAAGAACATGACGTCTCAGGAAGAAATCTTAACTTCTGAAATTGGTTAGCATACTCTCACTTTGCATGAGTTCCTGTTAAAAGGAGGTGGAAGCAGAATTTGTTGCAGAGACACATACAGAATTACTGTTTCCAGTAGTTGCAAGATATTTGTATGTATATCATCACGATTATTTAAAGCTGGGGGTTAGACCTCATGATTTAGGCTTATTGGTGTGTGTACGTGTATGTGCATGCTAGATCAGGTAATGTGCTGATATGCTTAGGACTTTGATGAGCTGGGAAGCACTTAGTATTAGTTTATGAAGCAAAAGTAGATGTTCTATAACATTTCCTCACTCTTATCAACTCTGTAGTATTGCATGTAAATAGCAACAATGATTAGCTAATATCCAAAATTATTTAAGGCAAATAAAGTCACAGACTTCAACGTGCTTCAAAATATCAGTGTAAGAAGTAATATAGTCAAAGAATGTGTGGGTTTGATATAATTATTGTAAGAAAGGGAGAAAAAGACTTTTTTTTTTAATCTCTAGGTTAGTATTTGTTTGCTGAGACTAGCTATTCAGTGATTATTAGCGATTTAGGGTACTAGTGCTATTCTGTAACAACCCCAACTGGCTTCTGGGGCTTGTAATTCTGAGGTGGATCATAGCAAGACCAAGGCTTTCTGGGAAGCAGTTATTTTAGAGCAGTGTTGTGCCGCACCTCTCTGGGAGAGTGACTAGAGAGAATGGCTACAAAACTGTCTTTAGACAAAGAAGCATGAGAAGATCAGAGAACTCTTCTAAGGAATGGCAAAACAGATGCTCAAAGCGATGTGTGAAAGGGGTCGGTCATGCCAAGGCAACCCACAAAAATGGTGGTGTGGGGCCTGGGAGGCTAGATGAAGGCACTCAGGGTTAATGAGCATTAATGTGCCAAGGAAGTGAATTAATTAGATTAATCTAGAGACCACTTCCATTTAGGGCTGAAGGACTTGGGTAGTGTTTATTTGCTTCATGGGGGGAAAGATTGTCTGAGAGAAGTTAGGCCCAAGAAGATACAACTGAGCCCTTCGTGTGAAGGGAGAAGGACTTGCGAGTGAAGGAGAACTGAAGGATGGTCAAAGGAAGGTAAAGGACTTCCCAGGGTGTTGTTTATTTCTGAGTACTTTCATATGCTGAAAAAAAGATGACATTTGCCCTTGCTGTTAAATAGCAGTTTACCAAACTGCTAAGCAGTTAGCACAAAAATAAATAAATAAATTTAGAAAGCTGAGGTGAGCCTGAGAAGCACTGCTCAATGTTTTATGCAAGAGCAGTGAAGAATATGTCAGCCTCCTGTCAGATAATTGCTGCTTGTCTCTAGCTCCGTCAGGTCTGAAAGCATTTTGTTTTCTCTCTTCTGTCCATAAGGAAGGAAACTTCTTGTGGTCCTGCTGAGGTGAGTAAAAGCCTTACTGTAGCCCTGACTGGAAAATAAATAAAATATAGGTGAGATCTGGAAGCTGAATCTGTTAATGAGATATGAAGTTGTAGGTTAAAATCTGTGGCATGCGAGGTTCTGAGGGTGTGCTGTGCAGCAACGACTGGTGGTAGAAATGCTCTTCAGGTCTCTCATGGTTTGCTGGTGTCTGCCCAGCCTGGGCTTGTGCCATGGTGAACCCCCTGGCTCTTATACCCTATTTACACTCAGACTGTGGATTTTCAGTTGATTTTAAAATGAAGAGGTTTGACCTTTCCTGTCCTTTCCATGGACATTTGTGTGTCGGTGGCATGGATACAGATGGAGCTTTCCCACTATCAGGTTCTTGTAGTTTTACAAATATAGCTGAAGCAGAGAAACTTCTTTTTGACCGTTGACTTCCATTATGTGAAACTACCCAACAGCTTGAAACTATAAATAGGCAACGATACGTTCTAGGTATCTAGAATCTGGGCATGGTGCTATTTCAGAAGCTGCCTTTTTTCCTTTCTGATTCATGATTCAAA